GGGCCATATCTGACAATGTCTCTAGCCATTGATGTGACCCGTCTCGGGGTCCCCATTTAGTAGGACGGCAATGACCGGCGCAGCTAAGTTTGCTGGTAATGGCTTTTATACTTCGCTGCCAAGTCCTTGTTTGACCGCCTCTGGCTCCCTTTCCACCCTTTATTGTGCGAAAAGAGCCCTTCGACTGGCCGAGACAGCGCAACCTATGCAGTGTGATCAGTTCATCTATCGACAAGGCTCTTATTGTAGACAAAGTGAGAACATAAACCGGTGTCCATGACTACTTGTTGGGTAGATCATGGCTTCAGTGAGTTTGCAACACAGACAAAGAGCTTGGCCTCCAACTCATATACAGAGTATTCTTGAACCAATCAAGACTGGTTTGACTCAGACTACCATCGACTGCAGCGGCCATCGAAATTCGGTCATGTGATCCACAAATCTGAGCTGACTGTATACGTGGTTTGTTTTGTGATGTACTGGTGACCAATCACAAAAAACATTGTTTGCTGTCTTCGTTTTAATCACGAATTATTCAGTTCGTAGCTTGATAGCGGTTAGCGATGTCTGCAGGATTGTAGAGCTCAGGATGTATCTTGCCGTTATCCGGCAAACCAAGCCTCATCAAAGGTTGACTGATACAAAACAAAGCTATGGGTTGGGCGGATTGTCTGCCTGTGTGTTTTGAAACTTGACAAAGCAAAGAATCAGTGTGGAATTGTTGATTTCCTAATGTGGCTAATGACTTTTGGGCATTCCGCTAATTCTGAGGAAACGTTAAACTTACAGCAAACTCAGGCAAATTTGCGTTCTACCTGGAGGCATCAGATGGCTACCATGCGAACCTGGATTTATACAGGATTAAACGGAATTCGGTATCCTCAGGTTATTCTGAGTTGATACAGTGGTGTTGGCAATTAACTCACAGCACAGCAACTCACGGCACAGCAACGAAAAAACTATCCTGTCAAATTTACTCGGGAACGCTTGCGGTGCTACCGTGGAACATGATCGAACACCACAAGAAGCTTGAATGGATATAATCGGTAAAATTAAGCGTGCTAATCTAAATAAGCTTCTACTTAATGAAATATTCGGATTAGTTCGTTGGCTTTCTGGTTGGTTCATGATTCGAGCCCGGCTCCGACACATATCGACTGCTCTGACTTAGGCTTCAGCGACCCGGCACTATTTCAGTCGTCGTACTCCCTGAGGGTGGCGTGGCAGCTCGGCTTCGAAAGGGTGTTACAGCCCAGCCGCCGGATTCATATCTTAGGTGGGATACGGATTAGATCGAGAAGCAGGTTCAAGATCGTGAATGATAAGAGTTGTTCTCAGTGGCCCTCCGTGCGCTTGACTTTAGACTTGGTTCGGAATGGCGGCTAATCGACTTCAGTGAAGTTCGCGCTCTCGGTTTCATTCCAAATCGTCTGATTGAATGCTTGAAGGTGACTGAAAGGAGCGAATCTTCGCGATATACACGTTGCACGATGGAATGTAGACTGAGGATCGATAAGCCCCTCAGTTCATCCATGCAAATGACATGTAGTTTTGGCTGGGTAATAACGATGAAGTCATAGAAGAAAGCGTGACACATTCACCTAAGTCGTTCTTGCCGAACTGTTGTACATCAAGGAATTGCTGGCACCCTTTATGTGAGTTTTACTCGATTACGCTACGTATGCAAGTCTGTGTTGAACCAGCAGTAGGCTACACAGAGCGTCCCGTATAAAACAGCTGATGATATCAGCTAGTTGACCGTAAATTTCACGCACACTTGGAAGACCTTTGCTGCACCTGTAGATCACTTCTGTGGTGTTGGAGGTTTTCTATAGCGTAGATGATGGTTTGGCCGTTGATTTAAGCGTTTTGCCTGGAAACCATTCCCTCCAGGCTTTCGTCTACCAACGGGCACCAAAAAACCTAGACCGTCTGGTTCGTGACCGCCTGGTCCTAGTGTCTGCCGTATGATCGACCGATCTTAACTGATTCTTCCGGAACAACTATTTGGGGAGGGCTTCTCGAGTCAAGGTTTTCATTATTCGACTGAATCTCTACAAAGCAGTCAAAATCTGGCCTCAGGTTGTCAGATGTCTATGTCGTTTTATAAGTCATAAGGTCATAAGATCGCCAAACAAGCCGAAAAGCGGTTTGAGACAACGAAAACAGCACGAATTCGAAAGATAACAAACGAATCGGTCATCCTGAACATGTATACTAATGTACTTTTCCTAGGAGACAAACTTGAAGACCTTATCAGCCAGTGTTTTCTGTGAGCCATGCATTTTAGTGATTGACAAGAAAACGGGTCATTTCTGAAGAGTTCCATCTCTGGGTTTTGAGGCAAAAAGCTATCTTTTTTCATAAATGAATGGCTGAAGCGTCAAACGAAGCACATCCCCGGTGGATGGAAGCTGACAGGATTGTTTGCATGCTTAGCTCCCAGAAACCTGCTCATTTGCGATGAAACGGCAGTTTGACACCTGCTATTTTTTGGCGTTGGAGGTGTATAGTTCACCATAGTTTTGAAACCTATCTATTTCTGAAGTCCGATTTTCGCTTTTTGTTTCTCTGAAGAATTGAAAGTCTGTGACCTAGTCTGAAGTTTGAGATCTGTACACACAATTTGTACACACAACAACCGAATTCACCAAATCCCCGTCAGTTACTGTACCAAATGCTTCCAAACAATCCGAACTGATTAATCCTCACCATAGGGGCCAATCAGTGATAGATCACGTGATGTGAACTGCAAGATAGAGGAAGCAGCGGGCAGGCTAATCACACTTTTGCTGAGCTACTCACTACGGAGTGGCTATTGAACAGTATATTAGTAGCTCATCAGCATGACCACAGAAGCATCTCTATGCTCTTTGACAACGTACTGGCGATGTCACTGGTGAAAACCAGGGAGAGTGACTCACGTGACTACATGCTCTCATGACAAATGCGTTGTGTTGGACTGTTCCTCATCTGACTGTCAGATCAACGAAACCGGATACAAACAGAATCCATCCGTAATCGGATGGGGTGAGTGACCCGTCAACTATGTACAATCGTAAACGTTTACTCACTCAGGTCCGGTAGACACCTGCAATGGTCGATCACAGGAGATGCAGTGGTAGTGCTGCAGTCCACGTCGAAGTCCGGCTGCCTCGTCGGTCGTTGTTTTAACTGGACTGACTGAATGGCCGGCACGTAGACGAGCCATAATGCTCTTGAAGCGTTTCTCCAGCCAAGCTCGTAGCTGTTCAATCTCATCGCGATCCATCTTAGTATCCAACCTGTCGGCGATCGCGCGAATCAGTTCGCGTAGCTCTTCGTCCTACGGGAGATGTAAAGAAAGAAACACAACAGTGACAGGGTGCAAGGATTAGCTCCTGGAATAAACGTGGTCTTCTTCTTTGTGGGATCGTATTAATCACAAAACGGTGAGGGAGTTCCACAAATCTTATGGTCAGTTTTACAGAAAATTTGACGGTAAATATCGAAAGACGCAGAGACGCAGACCTACATCTGTCGTAGCGTTTACAGCAGAGCACGTGCTCGGTAGCCGATATATCGAGGTTTCGACTTCCGTCATGAGGCTCTATATTTTGTTTACCTTATGTGTACATGGATTCATGTTGAACAAAAAAAACAAGGGTAATTCTCACAAATAGTGCTTCTTCACCTAACTCCTTCGAAGATTAGCAAATGAGAAATTCCATCGAACGGGTGCTCAGAGACGGAATGTGCCTCTGTCGGTAAGCTTTATAAATTTCTGTTCACGGCGAGCGGTGACGTAACAGTTCTTTTTGTGCAGAGTAAATCTGCCATGATGCCGTTAGCTGGGCAATTGATAGAAAGCCTTCCCTTGACTAGTGTGCACCGACGAACAGAAAGCCCAAATAGGCCAACGCCGCTTTATTCACTATGTTCAGTTTCATACGATATGCCTCAGAGAGAAAGCAATACGATAAAATCAGGGAACCTGGCTTCTGATTTGGACGTGGCTTTTTTGAACTCGTAGACTCCCGTTTGAGGGAAGAGGTCTTCGTACCCACGCTTTTTTGAACTCGTAGACTCCCGTTTGAGGGAAGAGGTCTCTCGTACCCACCCTGGAATATTTTTTTTCGGAATGGAATCCTCGCCACATTTGTTACGCCTTGGAATTCACTCTAAATATTTATCAACATCGATTCCCACAGATTCATGACCAGATTCACGCCTAGGATGTGAGCACTTTTTTGTATGATAGGTCTCGTCAAAAACATGAGGAGTTCAAATACAGTCAGTTTCAATCGACTGGTTTTTCTTCCCGTCACGTAATGAGTATAGATTTATTCATGCTACTTGGTCCGATTCGTCCTGCTCTCCTGTTTTTATCATTATGGGGGTATTGAATTCGATGTTTTGAAGTTTAATAGGCTTTCACGTGGGCAACTATTGGAAAACGTACCGCAGGGTTTTGAGGCTGCGGACTTCTGGGTGAGAACTCGAACAATCGGCGGAACACTATCCCATTTAATTGAGACCCGTAAGGTCACGGGTCCGACCCCCTCTGGAGCCTCGTTCGTCATGCATTACTAAGGGTTCCTAGTAGTGGAAAAGTGACCAGCAGTGATTGAAACAGCTGCACAGTAATAGCGGTGTTCAGTCACAGGACACACATACACCTTACACATCCTAAAGAGGATCACAGCCTCCCACAAGAATATGTTTCCTGGGGACGTTACACACTACTCATAAGGTTGCTGAAAACTCTTCTACAACCCACGACAGATTTCGCCCTTGTGTTTTGGGCTCATTGGGTGAGCGCAGTTCCCAAGTTTCCCTGCAGTTAACCTTATATTTTACTTGAAATCAAATTGCACGAAATCTGACAAAAACACTCATTTGCATGCCACTTTAGTTGGACATCATAAACGAGCTATTCAGCCTGGATTCAGATGAGCCTCTCGCAAGGACCGAATTAGTGTGCAAATGAGTGTATCCATCAGATGGTTTTCAGTTTTTTGTATATGTTGTTTTCATCATTCAAATCCTATGGTATCGTTGTGTCGTGAGGCTTAAAAGCAGAATGGATTTCAAACGCTCATGTGAATACCGCTCAACGCAAACGTTTGAGCTAATCCCAGCACATGTTGAATGCAAGCTGAGGTGTCTGTGGATCAGGCACACAAAATCGATAATCGATAGTGGGCATTTTGTCATGTGATTGGATAAAAGTGTTCCACTGCATAGTGGATGAAACTGACACCAAGAATGAGGGGAACTGCATTATTTTGAATTCAGACACCCAAATACTTATGATGTACCCTGTTGCTTGAACGCGGCGGTTCCTCAGACATCTGCGACAATCGCAGCGCGCATTTTACATACATCAAGTACAGTGGGCCAATTGGCGATGAAACGTTTTTACAACATTTTTCGGCTTGGTAAACAAACCAACAGTCAGCGGGCTACACAAAAATTCCAGGAAGATATGGTATTGACACAGCGGATAGTTAAACAACGGCGAGTTTACTTTTCTGTTCACTTCAAGATGTAAACCGGGCATCTGTTGCCTTGGCTGATATTATTGCGCTGAACTAGCTCAATTGGTGTAAAAAAAATTACTAAAACTAAACAGGGTGACAAAAATGTTTGAATCGGTTGTCCCGAAATTTCAGAAAACGAGAGAGCTTCACTGATATTCGGTAGTTGCTCGCACAGCAGTTATGCGTGCTCACTTATGCACTGACCTTGCTAACGTGTCACCTCACTTCAGTTGGTTGTCAAGCCCTCGTCTCAAAGCTGCTCGTTCCCGAAACTCTTGCGTGACAGGTGTTTGTTCGCAGTTAGTCCAGCAATAAATTTACTATCTGGTTCCATCCGGAGCCATTTGTGTGATGTCAAGGCTATTTTACGAACAGATGACAATGCTGGTGACGATGCTGAGGATGATGACAGCTAAGATCACTCGAGTGGTGGCGCGCATCTCCAACAAATCTGGATTTTATCATGCTTGGTGTCGTTGATTTCTAGTTGTCCGCAGCTGACAGACATTGAAAGATGTTGCTACTTCACGAGCTGTTTGCCGGTATGAAAAGAGGATCGGTAAAACACAACCTAGCAACTACAAGCTATGCGTTATTGATAAAGCAATGAAAGTTGAGGGTTAGTTAGACCAATAAAGCTCACTTTCTTTGAATAAGTTGTCTATCAGAAGTCCGAACCCGATAATCATCATCAATTGACTAACAGTTGTTTTGTAAACTAACAGGGTTTTGGACCGAGCACACTGCCATGATGAGTTCATCTCATGAAAAGCATACATTCTTATGGCACTGACGATGTCACCTCGATTGGTGATGAAACGTTTGCAATCCAACTACCAAGCTCGGTGAACAGACCGACAACCAAGCAGTGCACCCGAGCTACCTACATTCCACGACAGTGCTTATTCTTATGGACAGCCCATTCGAGCCATCTAGAAGATGTCAGTACCATTCGTTGGCAGATTCTCAATATTATCCAAGCCAATCAGACCTTGAGCGTTTGATACTGATAGCAGTCGACCAGCTGCCGTGCCATCCAAGGGAAGCAAGAAGGCTGAGGTGAAGATGTTGGAGTTGGTTCACGCCTTGACCATCGAACTATCTCGAGGTGGGAAGCGGACAGACCTCCGAGTCAGAAGAAATTCGGATGGGAGCAGTTTATTGACCTCTGACGCAAGTTTCCTGTATCTTAGTAACAAGCCTCTATTCTATCGCTGCACTGCTTGAGCACCAAACTATTTTTTTAGTAAAATGTTGACAGAGAACTGAAAAACCTTGAGAACGAGGAATTCATCCATAGAAAATTTTCTCCTGAGAAGACCAAGTGAGCCTGTTCAAGTCAAGGGTTTTCAGGAAGGCTAACTCCTCTGGATAGACCGACCGACTACACTGGCCAGATCATAAGTCTTCTATGCTAGATGGCCGTTTATCTCAAATGGCCTTCGCCACTGAGCCATGGAGAGGATCCGGAGGTGGTCACTGACGTGACTTGGCAACGAAGCCTCGAAACACTTATCAGACAAATCAGTGATCTGTTATCTTGACAGATATGGCTATCTTACACAGTCAGTCGTGATTCAGCATCAAAGCCATCGACTTTATCGCCTAGCCCTCTCATTCTCCATCAAACAGCACCAAACGGAAGCACTTAGCTTAAATGACGACGTCGTTGTCTCCAAAATGTGACCCCGATTTTCCTATTCTCCTTGTCATTAGTGAATTGACTTGAAATGGCGGTTGGAGCCATTACAGTTCGGTACACGATACGTCGTCGAAAACGCACTAACTGTCTGTTCTTCTCCAGCTATTCAAGAAATATGCAAGCCTAAAGGACACAGATATATCAACAGATTGCGGCGATCTCGCGCGCAGGAACACTCTCGCATGTGTGACAGTTATATCTCTATTTTCACCAGTTATTTTGATGATGTTTCGAATTTTGTTTTCCCAACGAAGTTTTATTTCTTTTGTTTTCGAAGAAAGCTTGGTGACAATCGGTAGATTTATCGCCGGGCACCGTTTCGCACCGTTGACACAAAAGCTTCGTCAGGCCAAGCGACTAGGTTCCGAGGTTGATCAAGATTCATTTCTTTTGTTCATATTCTCAATGATATCCACTCCAGTGCCATGTGAGAGGGATTCGGGCGAGAACTCGGCTTTCCTGGACTTCTTTGTGCCAAGTAATTCGGATGAGAAAAGTTTGTTGGGAACTTCTCAATAGTTAAAGACTGGTTTTGCCGTCCTTAGGGGGGGGGGGTTGTCGAGTTTCTGACAACCTTATGTTCCGAGTGGTCCTAAGCCGCACAAAATTAGCGAAGAACGCTCACCAAACCGGTATTAGAATATCTCGAATGTCGTAGCAACAAGTAGCAGCCTGCTGTTGGGAGCACAGAATCCAGGCTCACCTGGAATTTAGCCCTGATAGGTTTTCAGAATGTACGGTTCAGCATATATTCTCAGTAGCTTCTTCCCGAGGCTTTTAACTGTGAATTTAAGAAGCGATTTTTCTTCTGTATGGGTCAGAACTATTCCCGCAACACACTGTTCTGGAAGACACTCCATTGAACAAATTTATTATCCTATGCGTCCAGTTTATCGATCGACTCAAAAACCTCCAGCAAATGATAAGTCGTGTTTACCATCAGTCGGCGATCGTAGTCCCAACCGTGGGTGTCCAACAGCGCCTCTTATATGCCACCAAGATGATTGCTCGAACATTCTGCCAGCACACATCGATAGTTAGGATCTGTGCCCTTCTCCGAAGAATTACTAAAGATGTAACGAAAAGTTAATTAAGGCACGTGAGCCAAATAAATTTCCCAGACAGTCGTGCAAAGTTATGGTCATCACTTGCGTGCGGGAGCAGAAAAACGTCTAAAGCATTTCTATGAAGGAAACTACTCACAAGGTTGCTGAAACTCTTCGAGAGGTTTCGTTCTTCTTGGGGCTCATCAGGTAGGCGCATTCGTTTTCTGGGGACAAAGAGAATCACCCCTCCCCCCGAAGCTATTGAATCCGGTCATCTGATTGCTTTGAAACGTACCCTGTCTTCTGCGGCATTCTGACTCCATGCAGCATGCTTGTGAGCCTGTCAAATTAGGTCTCACTTGGCCACCCGCCAAATTTTGCTGTTGCCTTTTGTCTTTTCTCGCAAATTAGCTGGGACCGGCTTATCGGTTATATAGACAATGAAAAACGCTCATTGTTTTTCTCCACGCACCGCCATAGGATTTAATAACGGATTTGCATAGATATTGCATGTTTGAGGTACCAACCCAATCAAGACAAATCACGTGACTCCATTGTGAATTAAAAACGGTGTTTCAAAAATCCAAATAAGTTTGCTCTTTTGATAGTCTGGAATAGACGGCTGAGTTTCGGACGGCGCGTTCGACGGGTAGCTATGCTTACCTGGCAAAACATTACCAGAAGGTTTTTCATAAACAAAACTACCCAAAAGGTTGCTGAAAACTCCACGAGTTTCCATCAACTTTATGTTCCACTTGAAACCGAATTTTGTAATGTGAGCTGTTCCTAGGTTCAATGGAGCACACGTATGAAAACTTCCTCTTACATGCCAGTTTTGACTTTCGTTTTCTTTTTGTTGACCGTATACTCTCCATGTTGGTCCAATCGTTGAAACCACTGTGTACGTCAAGATAATCTACCACAAAGAACCTATTTTATCATCAACTCTTTGACAGCATGAGACACAAATTCACTCGAGAAAAAGTGTCATCACTCACTGTGTTGGCCAGCTTCCCGAACAAATCCATCATTGTCTTGTGCATCTCATCGTTGCTCGCTTCGAACTCGGACCGACTTAGAAGGTCAGCCAGCGCACTAAGGTCAGCTTTCTGTAAAGAGGGGAAAAGAAGAAACGACAGTGGGGAGGATTATGTTCCTGACAATGAGACTAGCAATTTCATCTATCATGTATCTAAACAGAATGTGTATGGCAATACTAGTGTAACGGTGACACTACTGATGGGGAGGCACGGGAGTAGTATGTGTTGTTCATGGAATTTCGCCTTGCGTCTCTTGAACAGGGAAGATCTGTTGCGGAATTTGTGGAGTCGCTTTGTAACATTTGCTTGGATTTAACCGATGAATGATTGGAGTCAGTGATTATTCAGGAAAGTTCAGGAAGACGCGTTCAGGAGAGAGTTTTGCTTCCCTGTCTGTAACCGGTGAATTGGCATTTCCTAATGAATAACTCCGCAGCGAAAGCCTTCTTCCTTTCACTAGGGCGTCACATTCGAAACATGGGGAAATTTTAAATCTGCTGGAACTCTCGAACAATGGAACACATATGGATTAATTCAAAAGGAGATTGAGTCCTACACTTGAAGCCAATCTTTTCTGAGAACACGGGGTGGCACTCGTCAGCTTTTTGATTCCTACTGGATATCACCGGCAGTGCGGATCTCATGAAACGCAAAGGATTCTCGGACGCACGACTTCCTGGTTACTCTTTCGGCTATGATCACTTAGTCGGCATTCTGCTTACCTGGTAATTGAAGAGCATGTAGCGTCACTCGCCCTTTAATCACGGAATTCCCATAGCATGGTCACATGTGTTGACTGGCTCCTCGCACGATGTGGATTCCAGTTCAACCCAATCGATTTAGTATAGGACAGCCAGAAAACAAAGTATGACCTGGAGTTTAACTGAGAGAAACACACGAGGTGCCACCATCTCCGGTAGTCAGCAAGATAATCTGGATAGGAACTGCAGCATAAGCTCCACTGACATTGTTTAGTCACCATATCTTTCAGTGACTCCAGCTAAGCACAGGGAGGGTCACATGGACCCCATCATTGAAAGCACACTTCACCAACGTCACCCAAACTTTTTTGAACACTCTTCATTCTCTTCTGTAATGTCAAATTATGTCCGAATTTGTATGCCAAAGGACTTGATGACTTAGGCAAGCTTCACTACTAACGGTTGTGATTCCGGCTTTCCTTAAAAAACGATAACAATGTCGTCTGCATATTCCAGATCGATAAGGTTCTCGCTGGGAGAGATCTGGGAGAGATCGGTGTTTGCCTCATTACTTCCTCACTAACGAAATAAAAAAAGGTGTGAGTGGACTCTTTTGTCGAGGGTCGCTGCTGGGAGGAAAGCTTCCAGAGACCTCCCGGCACACATACACGCCCGTACAAGTTTGTGAATACAAGCAGCGCATGTTATCCACAAACTTCAGGGACACTAATGGGACTAAAGACAGCAAAAAAAACAGACTATAAGTGACGCCACCTCACATAAACAATAATGCAGTTAGGGTGGTCAACACAGAAACCTCAAGAAAACTTAGGTCCCTCTCATTTCTGAGAATACCCATATTCAGCCGAAGATAAGCTAAACAGTGAGTGTATTTAGCTGATTTCGTGAAATTTGGGCTCAATAGACCATAGGCTTGACGGAAACTCAGAGACTGCGCCTACCTGAGGAGCTCAGCAACCTTGTGAGTAGTGTATTACGTCTACACGTACATCGCGATCTCGAATATCATACCAATTGAAATAGGAGGCGGCCTGGTGCAGCACATTCAACTGCTGGAAAACATCACAAGCGAGAGATCCGGTTGGGTTCGGGGTGAGTCTCTCGTCAAGACGAAACTTATGTGAAAATGAGTGTATGAAACTGAACAGTACTTCAACCCAAGAAACGGTAACCATGTCTATCGTTTCTTTTCAAAACTTACCATCTATCTATTTGGAAATCATGCACCCCCTGACTGATACATCCACGCACACCAATGCATTCGGTTTGAGGATTTTGTGCCGAAAGGTAACAAACAACAAGAGTGTTTCTGTAACCAGGTCATCGCACCAACCCGCGTAACACCTGATTTAATCATGTCGAATTCATATGTCCTCATTTGGAATTTTCATGCATCAGCAGGGGTGACCTTGATAAGGCTACTAAGAGTGTTAACCCGAACGTCTGTCAGTGTGTGTCAGTACACGAATAGTTAACGAAAAATTTTCACCGGTCACCTGAAAACGCTGCAAGTGATCATGGAGTGCGGTTTACAGCGACACAAAGTGGACTTGCCGATGACCTTGACATTCAACCGACGTTTCGCACCTACGGGAAGGAGGTGCAAACTTACCGCAGCTATTGTGCACTAGAACACCTGTTTTCCGACCACAACTCGGTTTCACGCGAAACTGCCTAGTAACTCGTCATCATTTTGTCCCACGGGGCGAAACCTCATTTTCTGTTGATTTATACTCTGATACGTTTAGTGCCGCAAGCAACCGATGGATGACACATCTTATGTAAAAAAAATCGTCAAGCTATAGCACCCTTTCGGTGCCTAGCTGCCATGCCACCAGAAGGTTGCACGAGGGCTGGGATACTGCCAGCTGGCCCAAGCCTAGACAGGGGAGTCGAGAGTCAGGTCGGGTTCGAACCACAGAACTTCCGGTCAGTAAATCTGCGCTCTAACCACTTGGGCCGTACCGTATCCGTTTCGCTGACAGATCAATGGATTCCTTAGCTGAACTCAGGTATCCAGCATCCGAGTAGTGACTTCACCTAACCTATGTGTTAATGGCGTCTTGTTAGTTGGTACATGTATACCATCATAACTTCATCATTGGCTGAAGCAGAATGGAAGGCCTCGGTCTTCTGAAACGACCATTTTTATACGATGGGTTGGTGCACGATTGTGACACGTCAGGTTCGGGATTGACCAGACCTGACTTGGATAACGGATCATCGGAGAATACACGTGAAAACATATATTTGTTAGGATACGTCACACCTGAATGTAATCATCATCACCATCGTCATGATTATCGTTCTCAACGTCATCATCGTCATTGGCACCAGCATCCTAGGAGGACACTTGTGCCTCGTTGCCATGCCCCTATACCAGTTAGTTCAAACAAATCTCCATAATGGGAAGAAAAAATCATGGATAAAGGGGGCGTAATAGACCCAGCCTATCCAAGGTGCATCATACAGTCTCAATAATCCGCATAGAGACTCTTGACACGAACGTCAGGTGACATCAGTTGGTTGCCATAGATTTCAGCACCTGAGCGAAGCAAAGAGTTTCACCCTTGAATGCGAGCACAACCAACGGAGTTTTTGCCTCACTCCCTTTGTCACGTTTATTCTGTCTGTCCCATAGGTCTCCACGACTGTGAATCATACGTGAGAAAAAACAAAGTTTGTTTTCGGCGGATGGTAACTCAGGTGGCGTAGCCCATGGGCCATTCACCTTCGCTTGCCGTGCTCGGTTCACTGCCCGAGTGAATCACCTTGTTCTTCACGAGGTAGTTTCCCCCCTCCTCGTGAACGGAATAAACAGACTGCATGGTCGAGCGAAGAAGACTGTGAACTAGCGCTCGGTTTCTAATCTTCGATCGGTCACGTCAAGTTTACCTTCAGTTTATCTCTTGATGCACTCTACACATACTATTCCGGACAAAGAGACATTTGTAAAAGAGCGTTCGTTTACTGACACCCCATTTCAACTTTTTGAAACGGGAAATTCACAAGGAGGAAGCGAAGCACTGAACTCGAGTTTCGCTCCTATTATACCCGATCGGTGGTACATATTGCTGGCCTGTCGGCGTCCGATATGCGAGATGAGCGTTTTAATACATCTTCGTCAGCACCGCACTTTGAAACGACAGTAATGTGGAGGTGAAGCCTACAAATCCCTGGACGATCTGCAACTACTCAAAGGTTGCCTAGCATCCGTGGGGCTACCTGAATGCGAAATCTTGAGAGGCTGGTCAAACGATTGACACAAATATGACCGTTGTTTGAGGCCCTGAACTCCCTCGTCTCTCCAGACGTCATAATCCATGTGTGACCGACAGAGCTGGTGGGATTGGGAGTAGACGCTCCCCTCGCATGTCAGATGTCCCAAGTTCCAGCCTAGGTTCTACTAAGGAAATGAACTGCTGATGAGATCGAATAAAGGTGAAACTCGAGTCCAGTACTTCATCCCTGTCATAGGGACTCACTAGAATAATTGCACCAAGAGTGGCCAAGAAAGCTTGAAGTAAGCATGAAATTGATATCTATGCGTCGGTCAAATGAATATTCTATTGGGTCACCGTAGGGACAAAGCTGTATCTCACGTACTCTAAAGAATACTAGCCAATACGCGATGCAAAGAATTAAAGAGATGAGCGTCTAGACGTGCTGTTGTTTGACTATGAAAAATTTTGCTACGCACGTTGAGGACGTCAAAAGGCATTCAGCGTTTAACCATTGATGTCTTCGGAGCATTGCCTGAGTCTGATGGGAATACCGGATCAGCAATGTTGAAGTTCGTCGAATGGTATTCGGAAGAAATCAATCACCCTCGATGGATGAACTGATCACACTGCATAGGTAGCGCTGGCTTGGCCGCGTGTTGCGTATGCCAGTCTACCGACTTCCCGGAAGGGCTCTTTTCGCACACTCACGCCAAGGATGAAAGCGAGCCAGAGGTGGTCAAACAGTGACTTGGTAGCGAAGTATAAAAGCCATTACCAGCAAACTCAACTGCGCTGTTCATTGCCGTCTTCCTGGATGGGGGTCCCGAGACTGTCCACATCAATGGTTAGAGACATTGTCAGACATGGCCCAGTTGCGCCCTCAATGGCGATCATGCATCCAAGCTGTGGCCTCAAATGCACAGCTCCTTTCTCTATTCCCCACTTGACAGTCCACTGACAGTGCCGTATTTATGCATGAATCTATCAGCTTCCGCCTCCAATACGCAGCTACATACCTCCCCCTCCCCAAGTCATCGGTGAACGAAACTGTGCTAGC